CAGCAACGTTGTGGTTGTATTTCGCTTAGTAACCTGCCATGAAAATTATAGAAGGCAGAAAACAAAACGTTAAAACATAATGTGTTCAGTTTTTTAAAAGTAGTTTAATTGTCATAAAGTCATGAAGGTATGGTAGTAGAATGGTATCCACAACAGTATCCTAGTCATTCATTGTTTTCTTTTGGAAATGAAGTCTTTTCTTCACAATGAGTAAAAACGAAGTCACTATCGCTGAGGTCATATGTGTATGTATATATATGTTTGTGTATATGTACATTTATATTTCTGTGATTTTTATATAAGGACACGTTTGGCGCAGTGGTCGGAAGCACCTTGTAACACACGCTAAGGTTCGAGCCTCGCGCCCATGTCTCACCAAGCCTTCCATCTCTCCGGGGTCGGCAAATTGGTACCAGATTTATTTGGGTGGATAGCAGCACTGGCTTGATACATCGGTAGGCCACCACGAGTCACTGTAAAGGCCAGATATGTATTCAGTCACCTCCAAATGATGCTTAGTGAAGTCGAATGCATGACGCATCCCTGAGGGATCGATCAACACCGAGAGCTTTGTCCTTTTATCCTTTACCATTTTTATACATTCATCGTTCTATGCTTCATAGTCTCATATATGTAGATAGTCTTTATAAAATGTTCTTTAAAGTTTTGAGATTTTCCACTTAAACTCGGCAATTGCAGTGACCAACGACATATTCAGGAACACCATCTTGTCTTGTTGGAGGCTAAATCCACTTTGAATAGCTTCTTAGTTCGAAATATAATCCGTAGTGGAAAAGAAGAATGTGAAAACAAATACGTTTCCTGACGATGAAAAACCAGAATCCAATCTAATAGAATCAAGAGAATTTGGTCTTTTTATGAAAGGATCCGCAGACTCTACCGGTTTTTCTTGCAATCAATAAAATTCACTATGAGTTGAAATATGCTGACTTAAAGCGGAAAGCGGTCATTATCTTCGAACACTGTGACTGCTATAGAAGTCACATCGTTGCGTAAGAGACGATCATATGGAATTTATCTGAATCATACGATTCAGATGGAATTGCACAAAAGTGGACCTTATTGTTATTTTCACTGTTATTTTCTTTGTAAAAACATGTTCATTTAGCTCGAAGTTACAGACTTTGCTCTTAAAAAAATTGGGCTGTTTTTAACTCTGTGACGATGACAAATGTGTTAACGAAACGTCGAACTGGTTTTTTGCACTTAACACTGATTTACTGTCCGAACTTTTCGATCTTTTTCATTCCTTCCTGATTTCGTGCTCAGTCACTTACGTACATCACAGTGTGTTCTATTCTTCTGTGGTGTTTTTACGTATGTCTTATTATTACCGTATACCTTTGTTTCGTAGTATTATGCTGCTCGAACCTGGTTATCTGAGCGCCTATGATTTCCCGTTAGTTCATTTCTCAAGAACAAAGAAAATCAAAACCAATGACGTCTCAGATCATTGTGTCGAAGAAACTCCAACGACCAGCCGAGGTGATTAAATCGTCATTAAAGTTTTACAAGTTAATTTCGTTTTTTTTTTCAATAATTAGAACTAGGGCTTATGGTGGAATCGATGTCATCAGTTTTATTTCCAGCATCTTTGACTAAATCTATTTTCACAGTATTTAAAACTGACGTCCTGGGGCATTTAAATCAACTAACTGTCTGAAGGATTATCTGAAGTATTAAAGTTCCATTTTCGCTAGGTAGACTAACAACCTCCATTTTCGCACAGTTTGATTTATTTAAGGGAAAAAAGAAGGGCTACAACTGCCCAGATCATTCTTGTTTAAGGGCTAACATCTTTAAGAGATTTAAGAATATGGTATGAACTTCATTGGCGATATTTCTGGCATCTTTGGTTGGTTAAATCACAGTTTACGCCTAATGCATAGGACGTCTCGTCCACAATATGTTACCGTTCAGTATGTGAAGAAATCTTTAACATATCTCATTGTGAAGAAGAACTCTTTAATGTTCGTTGTTTAAAAAAACAAGATACAGCTTCATTTATTTAGGGAGCGTCATTTCATATTTGTTAAGAAGCTTCGTCTTCTTTTTTGTTGGAGGTCCACGCAATAAAATAGTGCCTTAAATGTGTCGCACTCCTCAGAATGAGTGCTTTATGTGGTCATCTAAACACTTAGAGGGGTGCTTGGATAGCTTGGGAAGTTGTGGTTGACATTTGGGATGACATATGAATGGCAGAGTCCGACTTCTTGTTCTGCGGTAACGAAGGAAACGACATTTTGTTGGTCTTAAAGTTTATGTGCTTTAAAGCTTCAAAAAAAGTACAAGTACACATTCATGTTGATTGTTCGACAGTCATAACATCAATCAACTAACTGATCATCGCCCATCTATCTGGCGTCGGTGGTGTTATTCGTAGTGGAACATTCACCTATCCATCTTGTGGTTCCGTGTCGATCGGTAGAAGTAAAATTCACGTGTAGAACCTAGAAGGCCATCAATAAAATATAATTATGAAGCCGTATCGCTTCATATTTGCCTCGAGCAGTGATTTCACCAAAGTTCGGTGAATATTTAGTGGATGCGTGAAAAACGACCAAAGAATAATAATGCAACTGGTAAAGAGTATCACAAATGTTTTTCTTCTATGGTAGATACGGGAAGCCAATGATGAAATACCATATTTTACCTTCAGAAAATAATCATATCCAAAAGAGGTCATTAGTAATCTAGCATTTTAGAAATCATCACAACATAGCACTTGAATAGGCTGACTTCAAGAAATGTGCAAGTCACAGCAGAGTTCATTTTTTATTCCATTGGTATTTCGCGTATTTGGAAGTTCTTCTTGGAGGAATTAACTGTGCGGAAAGTTTTTAGATAGTTACCACAGGAGTTTGCCCACGGTTCTGATTCCCAGGGTTGTTTTACAAATCTTAGGACTGGATTTCTTCCGAAGTGGGTGCTATTACCTGGTATAGGCTTAGTTTTTATTGGGATTTTTTCAAAACTTTACCGGTTGGAATGACTGTGCTAAGAGATGAACTCCACTTGTGTACATTGCAATTTTGTACCTAACTGCACTCTCTTACCAGCATGAATCGCTTAATCTTTAAGGGAGAATAATGTGAGATGTTCAAGAACGAAAAACTTACTATTATGCTAATTATTCTTAGTATTATCATTATTTCGGTCTTTATGTGACATTAGCTTGTTATGGTTTGGTAAAAAAAATAAATAGAAAAGCCGATAACATTACGAAAATGCAGATGTGAGCTTTGATCGATCAGTCAGGATTACTTAATATGTTCTAAAGGAACTCTATTGTATATTTTTATTGCTTAAAGCTGGTTCTCCTTCCGATGAAAACTCTCTGGATTCGGCTCGATCGTGGTCGGCGGCGATCCAGGCGGCTTTGATGCCAGTCACACCACAGTCGTCCATCGGTGGCCACAAGAGGGGTAATGAGATAGCGAAACTTCAGATTCCCGGTGAAGGTAATCAGAAATTGAGTTCGGATTAAATGAAAGTAAATAAAAACGTGTTAATGTCGAGTGTGTAGGAATCTCTTCCGCAGAATCTCTATAATATTTTATCTAGTTAAGCCCTAAAAAGTTAGCGGAAAATAATAAGTAAAATCTAGTTTTTTTTAAATCCTGTCCTTATCCTCCATTGAAGGCCATAAAGATGTGTAGAAAATTCTAGTTTAATACTGTTAATATGAAAAATTGATTTTGAGATAGAGTACTGAAGAAAAAAAACTACTACACAGATCTTTTGGATTCGGCATCCTTTTGACCCTTCAATGGATCGAATATCGATCGAGTCACACTGATTGTGCTCTTTTTGAATAATTCGGATGATGCTGAGTGAAAGTTACTTTCAAACTCAAGTACGATAATGTCACGTTATTAGTGATCTATGAGAAGGAGGTGTGGTACGTGAACCCTTAGAATTTCCACTAATAGTGGCCTATAAAAAGTGCGCTATGAATATAATACATTTTAAACTGGTCTATTTTTTACGGGAAGAGCTACACTGAACACGGATGGTGGTTTTTGCCCTTTGTCCTATCGTTCTTCAATACAATAAGTGTCTCACAGAGCGTGGTGGGATAAAAAGTGGCGAGGATACGTTATGTTCATGATTATTTCATTTTTTGAAATTGTGATATTTTCTAAGGTCTTCTTTTCCTAGGTGAGAAGGGTCATCTTGGTTCTACAATCCAAAGCGAACAGGAATTTTCTCAGCTCTATCAAATATTTGCCGAAGAAGTTGGTTGTAATCACAATCTTAACCCTTTTATTTACTGTCTTTTTTTTTCTTCTTAAGGGCAGGGTATGTTGCGAAATATAACTCGTATGAAATGCTGAGATATTTGCAAAACTCCGGACCACAGGTGTATGCAGTGCACACCACTGCATACACCTGTGGTCCGGGAGTTTTGCAAATATCTCAGCATTTCATACGAGAAGTTGGTTGAACACAAAGTTTTTGCCTTTTTTCTTGTTGTGTCGTTGAAATTCCTTTCATCCCGTTTTTTTCCCTACATTTCATTTTCTGTTCCTTCCTTGTATGCATCACATTTCCACGTCCAACACGCACACTTTTAAGGTTCTTGGGTCGGGTCAATTTGGTACCGTATACGGAGGTATTCATCGAAAATCCGGTAAACACGTAGCAGTAAAGCTGATCGATAAATTGAAGTTTCCGCCCAATAAAGAGGATCTACTTAGAACCGAAGTGAACATACTGCAGGTACTTTTGTTTGTCGGCTTTGTTTCTATTATTTTGTGATTTTTGGTTTTGAGATTTCCACTTTTTACTTCTTTATTTGCATCGAATTCTCCAGATTCTTGCTCTAACTTATCCGCTGCTGAATTTAATATGTGAGCGACCGTATACATTTTTACAAAATAGATGGGTTGTATGGTCAGAATGCGCTGATTTCAATGCATGTGTTGTTCGTTCTACTGTTTGTCGTGGTATTTTTTACTACAACTTTGGCGTTCAATCGATAGCTTATCCAACACGGATGTTGTGCTAAACCATGAAGAGCTGTTCTCTATAGTTAGTAACTTATAAAGCTAAAAAAATAAAGCTCACGGCGTTGATCAATCCCTGAAGGATGCGCCATGCATTCAACTTCATTAAGCATCGTTTGTGATTGAGTGGAGGTGATTGAACGCATATCTGGCCTTTACAATCAATTACAATTAAATGACTCGCGGTGGCCTACCGTTGTAACGAGCCAATGCTACTATCCTCCCAAACAAATGTGGTAGCAGTTCGCCGACCTTGGAGAGATGGAAAGCTTGGTGGGGCTATGAGCGCCGGTATCGATTCCACCGTGTGTGTTGCAGGGCGACTCCGACCACTACGCTACACGCGCCTTGTTAATAACTCACAGGAAAAATATTTTTTGAAAGAATTTTTCAGTACATACCGCGACCCTGGAAATATTAGGCCGAGTACTAGGCGACTGTCATGCAAAAATGGGCGAAATCGTTTATGTGGTAGTGTTCTGGATTGGCCTATTGGCAGTGGATTTTTGGAATGTAGCACAATTTAAATAAGGCGAAAACAGAATAAAATGAATCCATCTGGAATGTGAGAAAAATTGCTATGTCAAAGAAAAACAAACGTTCATAAAAGTATTTCAGATAGGGACGTAATAAAGATCTTTTCAGAAGGTGCATCATCCAGGTGTTGTTGATTTTCTGCAGATGCTCGAAACACCGGATCGCATTTTTGTTGTGATGGAAAAGTTGAAGGTGCGATCGTTTTAATTACTTACCTGAATGCTTGAATGGCCCGTTTTCACTGGTTGTGCCGTCACCAACAGAATTTCCGGTCTCCAAAGATTAGATGATATGGCCATTGTGATTCCCTGGAGTTCAAAGGTTAACCTGGCCGAAGCCGTCTTCAAGTCGTCATCATCCTAGCGAGTCGCCGCCCTTGTTGATCGGAGTGAGATTTGTCACCATGCCACAAGTTTAATACTACGACGGTGGCGGATTCTGGTATTGCTTTACTCTTAGCTGGGTTTCTTGATGGAGACGCCGGACTTCTTCTCAGCTTTGTAGACCTTGCCGGAAAGATGAATCCTCCCGCTGCGCATCACAGCCCTACAACTAGGAACACCTCCCAGCCACGATGAGGTGGTAAACCGTTAGGAGGTGTTATTGTTAAGATATAGATACACCTTGTAATAGTTCCCAAGTCTGACTTTCTATTAACCTCGGCATGGATTGAATAATTCTTTCTATTTCTGTTCAGCAAACACGAGGTGTTACTTTATTTCTTTATTAACGTACAAGCTGACGTTTCGGCGGATTTCGTCCTCCTCAGAGCCTGGAAAGGTCAAGTTGACTACAACCTACTCGGCCAAACACCTCCATAACCAATTTCAATCACACTGAACACAGAGTCTTTGCACATTCACCGCTTTCTATGAGTTTTCCACTCAAAATATCACTTGGAGACCAACCGCATAGAGTTCACACGGAATCGTATTTTATGCCCATCTCATCAAACTAACAGGCTTATATACTGCCCAATGTCACGCGTGATAATGAGGGATTCCTCCCTGCGGTTCATTTTCGGATTCTTGGAATTAATCTAGAATGCCTCTAGAGTTTTGCGCGCTTGTGTTCTCGATTCTTGCGCGAGGATCGTAACCCTTACTTCAAAATCTTCTCCGTTATGTCTCTGCGTTCTATGCGTGCCTAGTGGAGTAATTGCTTTATCTTTGCCGACTAGGTGTTCTTTTATACGTACGCAGAGAGCTCTACCCGTTTCGCCAACGTATTCGTCCCCGCACGCTTTACAAGAGATCAGATAGACTGTACCCGAACTCATGCAGTCACCGTCTCTACCATTGGGGCATATTATGCAATTTTGTGTTGCACATAGACGGTCGTATAGGCGGTTACGAACTAACTGGCGCCTTAGATTATTCGGTCGTATTTCAATTATCGTTACTGAATTCTTTAGACCGGCCCTTCTTAAACAGCGTCTTATAGCTGCACTTCATTTGAAATAAAGGGCAGTATAAACGGGACCTTATTGTGGCTAAAGTTATAGCTAGTTTCGTAGCCATTAAAAATGGCTATTTGCCGCGCCAAGTTCCGGGACTCCTCTCTCTGCTCTCTTCCTGTGCACACGCTGGTAGCTGTTCGAAACATGTTTCTCACAAACGCCCTTTTCGTGTGGGAGGGATGAGAGGAGAGGTAATGAACTAAGATGTTTTTACTACTTGGCTTTCGATACCATTTCGTAGTGTAGCCGTTTTCTGACAGGTTTATTTGTACGTTCAGAAATGGAAGCCAGTTTTCCTTTGTTTTCTTTCTANAAGGGCAGTATAAACGGGACCTTGTTGTCGCTAGAGTTATCGTTGGGGTACCTGTAGTTTCCTCTACACTTATCTCGAGCTACAATTTCGTAGCCATTAAAAATGGCTACTTGTCGCGTCAAGTTCAGTGACTCCTCTCTCTGCTGTCTTCCTGTGCACACGCTGGTAGCTGTTCGATACATGTTTCTCACAAGCGCCCTTTTCATGTGAGAGGGATGAGAGGAGAGGTAATGAACTAAGATGTTTTTACTACTTGGCTTTCGATACCATTTCGTAGTGTAGCCGTTTTCTGACAGGTTTATTTGTACGTTCAGAAATGGAAGCCAGTTTTCTTTTGTTTTCTCTCTGGTGAATTTAATATACTCTGACTGTTCGCTCAACAACTCGAAAGAGGTCGATTACTGGCGCTTCCACCTTAGACATGAAAGCAATGCAAGGCTTGGTGCCAAATAGAAAGAAAACAAAGGAAAACTGGCTTCCATTTCTGAACGTACAAATAAACCTGTCAGAAAACGGCTACACTACGAAATGGTATCGAAAGCCAAG